CAGAGCTTCGAGTTGCCAGTATGAAGTTTGGGGGGTTCTCAGACATCGACATGGACATAGTCACTGCTGCTGGGTTAGATGAATCGCTTCCGGACACTGCTGCTGGAACAGATGTTCCTTCGGCTGATGAGCCACTACTCGGTGATGCGGACGCGTGCGCGCGTGCAGAGGCAGATGATGCAAGCGACGCGCCTGCTAGTGAGAGTGAGGAGCGATGCGACTGCTACTACTGCTCCAGGTGCCAACCGATCTACTGCTGGCGGAGATACTGTTGCTGACGGAGATGCGGCTGCTGGGCCACTGCCACGGAGCTTGTGCTAGTGTATCCATCGTGGTGGCCACCGTCATCAACCCAGCCCAGCCCTGAATCAGACAGAGATCCGGAAACAGTTCTTGGTGAGAACGACTACCCGCCTGCTTGTACGTTAGCTTCGAGCACCAGGTCAACCGAAGTTCCAGTTTGCGCACATTGCTTTGTTGTGGGGATGTGTCACTCTTGCTCACAGCCGCTGAGGAAGCATTGCCGCAAACTGTGACAAGTGTTTCTCACAATACTTAAGCAATGGCATTGAGATTTTGGCACTGTTTGTGTGAAAAGCTGTTGTCCGCACTTGACTTATTTTAATGTTAGGCCTGCTGCGAGGCTGCAAGCACAAACAACATACAATGATCAACTGTAGTGAGGACATCAGTTGGCAGACGTTTGCTTCATCACTTCTTGATGCAGAACCATTTTGGGGAATGCTGTGAATATCGGACATTCTCAAATTGGGGGTAGGAGATTTGAACCCCTGCTGAGGTGCAGGGAGGGCTGACAGAAAAACCTGTCAGGTTCTTGCTGAGAGTGAATGCAAACCCAATCCATCCACAGCTGCACTTAAAGGCGAAAACTTAGGTTAATAAGGGTCTGTCTGTTTTTGGATCCCTTTTTTGTGGTTACAAAGAGGAACACCTACCAACAAGTGTTTTTTGGCATGCGGAACCCGAAATGGGGGTCCGATTCTCAGAAAGAGTTTCTTTGTGATTGCAGTGGAATCAGCAACCAGGTCCTCAGGCCCCGTTGCTTGGGGTTTGGTTCGGTGACCCTCTGCTTGTTCTTAGTCCCAGGGCTTGCGCCAAGGTTGAGAAATTTAACTATTGGAAGCTCTATAGAACCTTGCTAGCTTCATTCAACCCAACTAAAACCAATCAAAGGGCTTTGGCTAGCGCAGGAGGAATGTCCCAGAAGGCCAAGTGCAAGTGATTACCGCCTGCTCTGGCACGGGAGGAGCAGAGGCGGCTCTCACAGCAGTGTGGCAAGGCTTAAATGGATGTGTGGCGGCTGCAGACACCAATTCAGTCTGTAGGGGGTTCATGGAAAGAGACACAGGGTCTGGCCGCCCCCTTTGAGATCTTTCATAGTCTGAAAGAGTTGCTGCGCCGCCCCCTCGGGCTGTTGTGCGACTTCTTCATCATGCCAGCCGGTACTGCCAACAACGCCCGCTTTCAGGGTAAACAATCGGAAGATTCGGACTCGCGCTTGCCCAGGTCGCCACACCCTTCCTGCTGCTGGGCCTCAGGTGTGGGTGCAATATCCTGTTGCCCTTGCCCCTCCCACTTTCAATCCGTTAAGAAAAGTAAGATGGCTGCGATGGCGCGTGCGAAAAACAGACACACACATACTCACCGGGTTCTGAACTTCGCCAAAGGCACATCTGTTGCCGGATTCCAGCTTGGCTCCATAAGCACCTTGGCTCCATAAGCACCAAGCGCCGAGCAGCCACCAGCCCCCGGCATGCTTTGAAAGCAGCATCACTGCTCCGCCCTCGTGCTGTTGGAAGCCGCGCATTGCTGCATCTCCTGCCCCCCCAATTTTTTTGAGTTGCGATGCCCGCGCCCTCAGTGCCTTCCCTAAGGAGTGCTCTCAGAAAGGAAGGGTGTAAACAGAAAAAAACATGAACTAAATGTACAGCCAAGTCACGGTCTTTCTCTGCCACGGCCCCGTCAAGCCGGAAAGGAGGCCAGCCTCTGCCCTTACAAATGCTCTCCATTGCAGCGAGCACTGCCAGCTTCTCGCTGACCACCACAACTTTCTCCTGCTGCTGCAGCAGCTTCCAGCTGGCGCACGAAAACCACCTCGGCTGGGCTGGTGGGGGTGGGGTGGAGGGGTGGAGGGAGGGGTGGAGTGGAAGGGTGGAGGGGTGGAGCGGGGTGGAGGTGGAGGGGTCCAACAACGACGAGCATCTTGCAGCTTCTGTCAGGCTGGGATGGCAGAGCAGCAATGTCTTGCAATTTGCTCAAGAGGCGCAGGCTTGCCTTCTCAGATTTCACAGCCGATTCATACAACCGCTGCTGCTCGTCGGACAACTTCAGGAAGCACAGAAGCAAGTCCTTGGGTGGCAAGTACTTCTCATTGACTGACTCGTCCCGTACCAACATGTATGGATCCACGGCCGACAACCGTTCCAGGGCTTGCTGGGCTTCGATCTGAGCTGCAGCGGATGCTTCAGGTTGGCGCCGGCGCCCCGCATCTATGGCATCTGCCCGGTTGCAAAGCATCAATCAATCATAACATGACACGACCCGGAGCGTCACAGCCTCTGGCATCTGAGCAGGCGAAGCTGGGAGACGAATGCTTCGGGCGAGCACTTTCCCTTTCTGCCTTTAAAAGTCGCTGACAAAGCTTCTGCACCGCCAAGTTCAAGACGGAGATGTAGTCTTGCCCCAGTCGCTTGCAGGCCACACCATCAAAACGAGGAGAAGGGGCCCGATTTTCCTGGAAAATCAAACCCCCTAGAAAATAGGGAAAAGGGGAGCCGGGACACCACTCAATGTCTTAGCTCTCACACCGCGAGCGTAGCAAGCCTTCGCTGAAGAACTGCTTTCGCAGCAACCACAACCACCGCAGCAACGCAGGGCAGCACCATGCTGTTCCCAGCCAAAGCTCGAAGCGAGCTTGAAGTCAGGCCCTGCAACGGAGCTCATGGCAGTTCAGTTGGGCCTTCTTCAAATCACAACTGCGTGGAACAAGTGTAGCCTAACTTGGGGGGGTCAAACTTTTATCCGGGCCACCAGCCTCGCTTCGACGGGCGATGGCCCTCTCTGACCACCCCAAGCTCTTGAAGATCTCTAAGGGGGCCATGAGCCTCTCCAGCTGATCAGGCACATGCGGGATCTCTAACATAGCGTGCTGGATGATGCCATCGCGAGGCCACGACCCTCTCTCAGCATCCTCTTGTCCCCGTTCAAGACGGGCACTGCAACCACATAGACACGCTCACGCCTGTGAGGAAGCCCAAACTGCGTGGCTTCCACCAAATGGTGGCACGGTACCCAGCCCCGCTTGCGAAGGCTTTTCTCTATCCTCTCCAGCGGCGACCTCTGTTCATGCTGGCCTCGCTTACACAAGCCAGGCGCACTTTCTAGAATCAACGCCTTAAACACCAGCGGCCGCGCCCGTGAGGCTTGCTCTTCCAGGAACTTCAGCACAGGCACAGCGGAGGAGCGAATGCTGACTGCGCAATGTGTGGCGATATGACCCTGCCTGCGCCTGCTTTCCCATGTCTTGCAAGGAAGGGCCAGGCTAGCGTATACCTGAGCAATGCCACATGGTATGGCCATCTGCGCTGTGAGTGCTCGCTGTGTCCGGGGTTTGGCCTGAGCTTCCTCATACACAACCACAGGTGCGTGCCTGACATTGACTCTGATGATGAGCCGCTTGCAAAGCGCCAGCGCGCGGACGCGCCAACGCCGGTGGAGCGGGTGGAGGGCCATGACCTGTTCCGTGATGGCAAGGTGTTGCGGTGCAAACGCCCAGGCTGTCACATGCAGAGTGTTGAGAAGAATGTGTACCTGTACAGGCCACCTAAGGGTCCGCGAAGATGGTGCCCTGTGCTTCAGCCTGGCCGACCGGCAAGCAGTTTTTGAAAAAATGGCAAGTCGCATATGCTTGAAGCACGTTTTGGCAAGACATTCGAAGCAACTGATCGCACCCCCCTTAGGTTTGGGTTTGTTTGAGGGGTGGAGGCCAAGCGTGTAAATCGTGCTTTCCGGGTCGATATCGTTTGATTTGGAACAGGCCTGCCCCGACCATGAAAGGAAGACGCCCACCTCAGCCAGAATGCTTTTGGTTAGCTTTGAGGTGCTGTGTTTTGGTTTGCCTTGAAGTGTTGTGTTTGTTTGAGTGAGTGAGTGAGTGAGTGAGTGAGGGAGTGAGTGAGTGAGTGAGCGAGTGAGTGAGTGAGTTGGCACAGAAGGGCAGTGGACTGGGGCCAAGCGAAGCCTGAGAGCATATGTAAGGAATTTGGCCGGTTCCAGGGACCGGTGTTTCTTTGACTAAGCGTGGGCTTGGGCCTAGCCTCAGCGACTTGCTTCAGAGCAGCTGGAGCATGGTTTGGGGGGTCGGATGGACAAATTTATCTTTGTATTTTCGTAGGTTTTTTTTACACTTCTTGTAGCGTTCAAATATCAGCAGCCGTGGCCGTGGCGTGGCCGTGCAGCCGTGGCCGTGGCGTGGCCATGTCACCTCTTTATGATGTATGTATGTATGTATGTATGCATGCATGCATGCATGCATGGCTGGATGTATGTATGTATGTATGATATGTGATGTGTGTGTGTGTGTATGTGTGTAATGTATGTATGTGATGTAATGCACTGTAATGCAATGTAATGTAATGTAATGTATGTATGTATGTGTGTATGTATGTATGCAGAAATAAACAATTATGTGTATGAAAAAATATATATGTGTGTGTATGTATACACATATGTATATATATATATATATGGGTATAGTATCGTTAATGCTTGGGCCTCCACCATACGCTTTCCCCGAGGGGGGGGGGTGCTGCCCCAGGGCCCTGCGTCGGGGTGGGGGGGTGATGGCCAGCCAAATGGTAAGCACACCCGGGCAAAGATGGGAGGTTCTGCGTTCAACTCCTAACGATATTATGCCGCTGTGTATATAAAAATATGTATTTATGTACCACTGTTTGTTTTCAGAGGATACACCATCCCAGGTGGCGGTCAATGCCATCGGCGCCTCCGACGCGGCCCTGGCGCGCCTGGCCCACGTCGCCGCCGCTTCCGGCGGAGGCGGCGGGAAGCAGCGGGCGCTGCTGGTGGCGCCGGGGGAGGGGCGGTGGACGCGTTGGGTGCCGCGCCCGGGGGTGGTGGTCATGGGCTCCTTGGCCAAGAAGCCCCAGGTCGGTCGGAAGGGTGTGATGTGGTTGCTGTCACCTTTTGTTCCGGGGTCTGAGTCAGGATGGCTCCGGTTTGGTGTCCTGTTGGGTTCCCCTTTTTTAAGACCCACCAAACAGGGGTAGCCTCAAAAAAGACACATGAAGGTTAGCCCGGTTTCCGGGTACCAGTCGTACCCATTGGGTGCAGGAAAGGTTGCAACTGTGTTCATTGGCTTTATGGGTCACACCACCAGGCCCTTTGGAGTGTGATTTTGATTGGCGGGGTGTCCCATTTTAGTGGTTGGATTCAGACCACTTTTGGGGGAACACGGTCCTAATAGGACGGTGTTTTGTCATTTGGTTCCATCCGGGGTCCATTGAAAACGGTTGTGTTCTGACTTGTGATCCTGTGTTTGTGGCTGGGCCATACAAGTCTTGAGCTCCAGGACTTTGATTTACCCATCCGTCAGCTTCCGATGGTGTCAGTGCACTTGAATCCTGGGAAACCTATTCTGAGAGGCTCTAAGGCCAATCCCATTGCGCAGAGGCATCGCCTAAAAAAACGACGCCTTGCGACTCCCGTTCTGACGTTCTTGCATGGCTGTTTCTGCCAGAAGTTGTCTGCTGCTTTCCGGAAGTTGCCATTGCTCTTTACTCTTTTAGGACATTGGAAATTTGAATCATGGACCTTTCCCCGGCTGTTTTTTTTTTCCAGCGGCATGATCGGGTTCAACCTGTGTGCGTGTGCTTGTTTGGGGCATGTAGAGCAAGTGCATGGTCAATCGCTGCAAAAAGGGCCACAAAAACCGCTGGAAACAGCCTCACCTAGGGGCGGCCCCTTTGCTGGACGAAGCGAGCTGGCGCGCCGCGCAGTTCGCGCGAAACGCGCCCTGGGTGGCGGATTTGGCCAAGGAGCGACGGATCCGATCTGGTCAGATCGGACTCAAAGAGGGACAGACACGGTATATGTTGGAACCTGTTGAGGGTCTGAGTTTTCCAGATGTTGGTGCTAAATGGCCATGAATTTCAGTAGGGAATTACCTTAAAAGTGGTTGGTAAGCCTGAATCCCAACCCAAATCACGTTCATTAAACGGGTTTTCGGTTAAAAATCATACCCAAATAGTCCCTCAGTCCTGGCAGGGGAGGTTCGTCAGGACTTTGTGTCGCCAAATCAAGCTGAACAATAGGTCGCCGATGGTTGCAGCAGACAGCGAGAGAATAGGTTGACGTAGTCAGAAGCTGTTGATCTAGCGTGGCCTTTGCGTGCAGGGTTCCATTTGCAGGTTTCATCGCACTCTGACAGGGAGGACCCTACCCTTAACGTAACCCTTCCCCCCGCCCCCAAAATACCAACATAAACAGGTCAATAAGCACCAACTAAGACAGAAGTGCGTCTTTTTTGGTCTAGGGCCCTGTGGTGCAACTTAATCCTTGAACTCGATGTTCCCATTTGGGTGAACTCAACTTCAATTGTTTTCAACCATTCGGGTCAACCGGGTTGCTGGGCTGTGGTCTGTGGTGTGTCAAGACACCCCACTAGAAGAGACCCCCGCCCAAGTCTAAGCCCGTACCAAAGGCCAACAAACAAAGGCCTAGCCAAAGTGAAATTGCGTGGGCAAGGTCTTTTGGAATGGCTGGCTCAGGTCCAGGTTGTTCTTTTGTGCGCCGCGAGGATGTGCTCCGCGACATGGAGCTGGGTAGTGGGCCTGCGGGGACGTGTCGCTGGCTCTGAGTGAAAAGAGGCGTCCACTCGCAGAGTCTGGGATGGAGGAAGCCCCAGGAGTGGGACGAAATGTCTGCCCTATTTTCTGCGGGGTTTGGATTGGGGCGCCACAAAAAAAAACAAGCTTTCTGCTGCCAGAACGCCTGGGCAGGGAAGCTAGGAACAATGAACCAGCACGTAGGGTTGAGGTCATGGACTTCCAGGGAGCTTGCTTTCTCTTGAGTTTGGGGGTGGCTTTGATTGGTCAAGTCCAAGCCATATAGGGAGTCATGGAACAAGTGGATTCGAACATATGCGGACCACATCCAATCGCCACGCACGGGTAAAGTACAGTGAGCCGCAGGGGGTCTCCTTCTCCCCGACTTCCAATGTTTGGAGCCTTCCCGCGTTTCTCGGGGAAGGCTCAACAATTGGGGCCCCAAAGCGGCAAAATTGGCTAAGTGCAAAACCCCCTGGCTCGTAAAAAATGTGCCACGCCACATGTACATATATATATATATATTATGATGTATGTATGTATGTATGTAATGTAATGTATGTATGTATGTACGGTGAGACACCTCGTGCCATAGCCACGAAAATCAATCCCACACAGCTAGTCTTTTGGTGGACTCCCTTAATTTGCAAGACGAAGATCGAAGCGGTGCAACTTTGCATGCGGGAAGTGGAATCCATGGTATTTTCCTTAGGTGCAGTCGAAACATCCAACTTGGTCCAATTTGAGGTGAGTCTTCTCTTGGGCCACGATCATATTGCGCCCCATTTTTTTCGTTTGTTTCTCTTGTTGTTCAAGTTCAACTTCCAGGCTTCCGACACCAGATTTGGAAGTTCGCGGATGTGAAAGGCAATTTCCGTGGCGCCGCTGGTCATTTCTCACTCTTTCTATTGCTGTCTCGTTCGGCCAGGCAAAAGACTGTTTGGAAGTTGGGTTTTGGACGCCTCCAAAAGCGCCGTTTGGTGTTCAGGACATCTCAGGAGCGCAAGGCGCTCTGAAGCTCGGCCTTTGACCCCCGCAGGCCGAAACTTGAAACCTGCCCAAAACCGTTATGGCAGTTTGGCTGGATCTTTGGTCAGCCTTTTGGTGGGCACAGTTCGGATTTTTCCAGGGACCCACAAGAAGTGAGAAGGAGAGGGGGGAGGGGGGTGACCACTGGGCTTCCATTTATAGTTCCATTTCCTTCCGTGGGGACTGATCAATGGAATCGGGGGACCCCAAAAACGCCCCTCCCCCCTAAGGTAGGGGTCGTTACACCAACCCAAAAACCATGTCAACCCCAGCCCTTGTCCTCTGAGCCCAGGTCCAACACCTCGCAGGGCAGCTCACGTCCTTGCGGGGTGAGGCGCGAAAGAGGTTGGGCGATGGGAGTCGTTGCGAAGGCTTCTAAGTCGCATCCAAACTATGTTCAAGCTGAACCGTGTCATTGCAAGGCTGCCAGTAAACTTGGTCCAGTTTTTGGGAGTTTTATGTTGCCAGTGCTTCAAGTTTCATTTGGGCATGCCTCATGTTTGAATGAATGGCGTGCCTCGGGCGGCCTTGTAACCAAACAAGGCGTTCACCAGAAAGGCACGACCCGTTTGGTTGGGAGCCTGGAAGGCACGGAAGGCAGGGGTTGATGGCTTGGGAGTGGCATGGCGGTGCACGCAAATCCCACAAAACCCAGGCGCGTTACGAATGAACGAATTTGTGTTGTTCTCAATATGGCTGTGGGTCAAAACCAAGGGTACCATTTTGGGGTAGGTGCACCACCCATTTTAGTCTATTTTAGTGGAGATTGGGATGTTCACTGGGGGTACAGGCTTTTGACCCATGGCCATATACAGGGGGTAATCTTAAGCCAAGGAGAAGGACATCAACCATTGGAAGGGTCCCCATATTTTTGGAAATACCCATTTTCCCCACGTCCTTTTCGAAGACCGCATGTATTCCGAGCATTGCTCATATGAGAGTTAGCTAGGCCTGCTGCGCTGTTTGTCGGGTCGGGGCTGTCAGCAGCAGTTAGGTGTTGACACTATATGCATTTACGCATGAGGTGTCCGAGCCCGACAATACAAGATACTGGAATTCTTGAAAGTGAACTTGCGGTGCCCAGTGGGGGATGATCCATGGTGTTGGTAATAAACCTAAGGGTCATTCCAACTCATTCCCTGCTGAGAACCAGCAAGTAGAGTGAATATCGGAAATCATGCAAGTAAGTGGATGAGAAAGTAAGGAAGCGGAGAACGTGGTGCAGTAAACAGTCAAAGAAGTGCCATACTGAGGGCCTTGCTATTTTCCTAAAGCTGCTTCCCCCCTTGCAAGCGTCTTGGACGCACATTTTGGACATGTCCGTTATCGCCGGCCTGCCCGCAGCTGTTGGTTCGCTTGCTTCCTTGCGAGCCATGGCTATTCGTGGTGTCGTTCCGCTTTCGCAGGATCAGCTGTTCATTGAGGGCCGCTTGGTCACCGAAAAAAGGGGAATCTCCTTTTGCACAGTACTGAGGTCGGCTTAGAGGGCAAACAGCCTCAGGCCGAGGCAAACTATAGTACAATGTTTGTTGTTGTTGTTGTTGTTGTTGTTGTTGTTGTTGTTGTTGTTGTTGTTGTTGTTGTTGTTGTTGTTGTTGTTGTTGTTGTTGTTGTTGTTGTTGTTGTTGTTGTTGTTGTTGTTGTTGTTGTTGTTGTTGTTGTTGTTGTTGTTGTTGTTGTTGTTGTTGTTGTTGCTGTTGCTGTTGTTGTTGTTGTTGTTGTTGTTGTTGTTGTTGTTGTGGTTGTTGTTGTTGTTGTGGTTGTTGTGGTTGTGGTTGTTGTGTTTGTGGTTGTGGTTGTGGTTGTGGTTGTGGTTGTGGTTGTGGTTGTGGTTGTGGTTGTGGTTGTGGTTGTGGTTGTGGTTGTGGTTGTGGTTGTTGTTGTTGTTGTTGTTGTTGTTGTTGTTGTTGTTGTTGTTGTTGTTGTTGTTGTTGTTGTTGTTGTTGTTGTTGTTGTTGTTGTTGTT